CATGTAAGCTGCACTAGTAATTTTGGATAGCACATAAAATGATGAGTGAGATTTGTAGTGTAGACATATGGAGGTCTGGTTCCTAGTACTATAATGGTGAACAATTTTGACTAAGCTTCTCTAGGGAGCTGCATTTCATACCAACCCACTCTGAAAGATTTTGTTTACATCTAAACAGTTGAATGATTAAGTAATTTTGCAAAATCAGTGGAGTTCCCCTTTAATAACTTTATCCTACCATGCTGTCATGCTCGAGCTGACCGCTGACCTACATATAATGCGACTGCATATTAGGCCTGCACAAAAAAAATTGTAGTGAATTATGTAAGAATCATGCATGTCATCATCGTCTAATTAGAAAAAGACAGACATGCTGATTGGTGAGGTATAAACCTCCATTACTCGTTAGCTATATTAGACTCATCGCTCCAGTGGGAAACTAAAGAAACAAACTTTAGACACCAAACATGTCTTGGCTGATCAACTACGTTTGGGGTGAGGCTGCGTACCTTTGATTTTTTGCCAGACTCTCCCTTTAAAGCTCTCTGACTTCAAAATGTAAACTTCACAGCAGATATCAAAAGACAATATACAGATTCAACCATGCGGGTCGGACTATTTGGAAATCGGTGGGCCGATATATACACAGTGCATACATCTCGAGACGGGCCGACCCAGCGCCATATGCTCATAAAAGGCTGAAAAAACACATTACAGAAAGATCATTAGGTGCATTAAAGCTAATTGGCCTTTTCCAGTGTCTTACGCTCTGTATGTTTTTCTTTTTTTCTGCGGACTGAACAGGTCTGGTTTCTATAATTACTGAAGGAGCCGGCCAGACACAAACATCTTAACGATTCCCCCTGAACAGTCACATTACTCTTAAAGAATCCACAGAGAGAGAGAGAGAGAGAGAGAGAAAAAGAGAAAGAGAGAGAGAAAGAGAGAGAGAGAGACAGAGAGACAGCGAGAGAGAGAGCAGAGAGAGAGACAGCAAGGAGAGGAGTGAGAGAAAGGGAAAGCAGAGAGAAAGAGAGAGACAGCAAGGAGAGGAGTGAGAGAAAGGGAAAGCAGAGAGAGAGAGAGAGCAAGGAGAGGAGTGGAGAGAGAGAGAGAGAGAGAGAGAGAGAGAGAGAGAGAGAGAGAGAGAGAGAGAGAGAGAGAGTACAGACAGACAGACAGAGGCAGCAAGGAGAGGAGTGAGAGAAAGGGAAAGCAGAGAGAGAGAGAGAGAGAGGAGAGAGAGGAGAGAGAGAGAGAGAGAGAGAGAGGGAAAGCAGACAGAGACAGAGAGAGAGAGAGATAAAAAGGAGAAGGACAGAAATTGGGAGAGATTAAAAGAAGAAGAGAGAGAAGAGATGCAGTGGATGAAAGAGCAATAGAGAGAGAAACAAAGGGACAGAGACAGGAAAGAAAAAGAGAAAAGAGCAAAAACAAGTGGTCAAGGACAAGAAAGGAGAGTGAGAAAGAGAAAAAGGAGTGATAGAGAGAAAGGAATGCGAGGAAAGAGTGAACACAAGAAGAGAGAATGGATTAGTTTACAAAAGTGAGAGAAAAGAAAGAGAAAGAGGAATGAGAGAGAAAGGAGTGATAGCAAACAAGGGGGAAGAGAGACAGGGAGCAAGAAAGAGATAATAGAGAGTGAGAGAGAGGGAGCGAAAATTCCTGGAAAAAATATCCTTTTTTTTATTATTACTCTTTAATATTTCCCAACTTCACAACCAGAGTTTTGCCAATACAAATGGACTTAATTTGTCCATAATTTGATGACCAGTTTGATGACCTGGTTCTGTAAATGCCCCCCCCTCCTTTGAAATGAGGTAATGAGGTCCACTTCTGACATTTGTATGGGTTTATGTAACAAAAACAGTCATAACTCATTTTTACATGATTATTTTCCAACCTCAGTATCACTCAGAATTAAACAGGCCATTTGGGTTACTTTGCCTTCACTTACTGACTTACATATGTAAATGAGCTCTGTTCTGATTGGCTGCCCTGCATCGCGCCTCGTTCAAAAAGCAGTCCGGACTGGAGCGCTCCTTAAAACTTCAACATGATTTGGTGGGGGTAAAGGACAGTTTGCTTCATAGGTGCATATATGCAAATATGTTGGTTTTTATGACATCACAAAAACAGCTCATTAAAAACAGGCTGTTTCTGCAGCTCAGTTCTCATACATGGACCACAAGTACTGGGGAGCAAATGGTACATTTTGAAACATTAAGTGTTCACAAAGCACAAAAAAGGGAGAGAAATTTGGCTTTCCATGATCCGGGCCCTTTAAAAGTATAAACTTTTACAAGGTGAACTCCAAGAAACAGGACACACTGCTGCATTATTGCGGCTTTCGCATGTTTTGATATTAATGCACTTCTCGGCTGAAGTTCCGCAGACATTTCCTCAGAGTCCAGAAACTCCACAAGTATGTTCCAAACATCCGGATTTTTTTTTTTCTTCTCAGTAACGAGGGCTTTTTTTAAATTCACAATTGAGTCTAAAAGTCCTGGCACCGTCTCTGAGCAGCGAAGTATTTACTGACACTGCAGTACTGGAGAAACAGACTAACTGCTCCACAAATAAAATTGTGCTGGATACATATATAACATTGCCACTCACAGGAACAGCAGATCTCTCTTATCATAAAAGATCGGACCACTTCTACTACTACCATTAAAATCAATATGGGATACCTGGTTCTTTGAAACATATGGTTTGGGATTGTCCAGGGGTTTATTCATTTTGGAAGAGGGCGACTTCTGTACTTTCTAAAATTATAGGAAAGGACATTCCCCTTCAACCAATTTCACTGCTTCTTAGTGATAATTCACAACTACCACTCAACAGCCACGTTTACATGCAGCCTGATAATCTGTTAATAATCCGACTAATAACTCAACTGTGATAGAATACGACCATGTAAACACCTCTATCGGAATAGTAGACCAGTCTGATTGACTCCATTCAGAATACAATTTCTATCCGACTGAACGAGGTGGGTAACACTGTAAATAATCAGATAAACAGAAGACTAATAACCATGTAAACGCCTGTATCTGATCACATTCCCTATTGGAAAGTTTACGTACATTCTGCATGTGCGTCGCGTCATAGCGAAAGGTTATAACGTTCTACATGGCGGAGCAGAAACTGGTCTGCAGAGGAGACGAAGTTTTTGCTCTGATCTTTAAAAGACGGCGGTGGGACGTCGAGCTTGTGTCTCAGAACATGACGTCTTCCTCTCGGCCTTCTTTAATAAGGACATGTGAAGTATGTTTTCCTGAGTATAAAGGAATTATAAACACAAGTGCTGCTCACTGCTGCTTGTTGCACTCTGACATGACTCACGTCAGTCTTGGTAAGGTTTACATTAAGTGGTTCTCTACGTATGTGCGTCATTTTGGATCTTAATACTTGTAGTGTGCAGGTAAACAGAGATTTTCCATCAGATTGTTGAGTAGAGTGAGCAGATAAACACCTCTTAATCTATAATCGGAATGTGTTCAATCGGATTGGCAAAAAATCTTTGCATGTAACACAGACAATGAGAAACAATGAAAAACCTTTTGATGGTTTGACCACAGAAACAAAAGTGATAGTTCAGCGCTGGATGCCCCCTCATTTACTGCATGGTAGGAAGTGGTTATTTTATTTTCATGACATAGTGATGATGGAACTCTCTACTGCTAGAACACACAATGGTAAGGCTTCTACAATCCAAGTATGGGAAAATTTGGCTTTTAACCTTAGCGAACTACTTAAAGCATGAGTGTTTGAAAATGGTAAATTAGGGATATAGAGTACCCAATACTGTAATACATGCTAGGATATGACAGCAGATTAATCTCTATGTCATAACTGAAGTATTTAACTCTCAGTATTTTTTTTTTCTTCCGAGGGTGGGTGGATGGGTGGGTGGGTGGATGGATGGGTGGGTGGATGGGTGGGTGGATGGGAGTTCGGGGTGGAAGCAATTATTTGTATCTGTTGTCATTGTACCTCGTTTTCTGTTTAGTATTACAAAAAAAAGCTGTTCACTATAAAAATCACTATAAAAATGTTTTAATTTATCAAAAGATAAATGAAAACAGTTATAAAGCAGTAAGCCACAAGAGGCTGCTTTACAGAGTGTCTAACATCCCCTCTCCTCCTTTAACATGGCAAATCACTGCAATGCAGGTTCTTCCATCAAGCAATGTAGTTCACTAACTGTAGGCTATGATATGTCGACGTATGCAGTCACGTGTAGATAAGTGGACATTTCATAACTGTCCCAATGTGGCTCAGCCAATAAAACTTTGAACTGTTTTGTAAGGGTGATTTTTCCATTGCACAAAATACCGAAACCTATGATACCAGAAAACCGCATCTGTGCTTTGGCTACTGGCCACTGGTCACTACTGCAGGTTTTAGTTCTGTGGTTTAGGGTACCTGATCAAGACTGATACTAACAGGATGGAAAGGTACTCACGGCTGTTCTCATTTGTCTGTGTGTAATCAGATCTTTTACCCATATGACTAGACATGCAAGTTCTGTTGGTTCCTGATTGGGTCAGTTCTTGCTTTTGAACGTGCGGTGGGGAAAATGACCTATGCAGTAGGGCTGTCCATTCTCACTCTAACTAAATCACTCAGTGTCCTTAGATGAGTATGATTGTTGGTTGACTAGGTAAAAACGTAAAGACCTAAATAAATAATTGCAGTTAAAGATGATTAGTCTTGATGATTAGGGGTGAACATTTAAAAAAATGTTGAAAAAAATGGGAAAAAAAATAAATTACTAAATAAAATAAAATTAAAAACACTAAAACTAATATTGATATCTGTAATAAAAAGAAATGAAGTGCAAGTGCATGTGGCGTTCCTGCTGATTCTACACTAAATATGGATCTATAGGGTGAAAAACTCCAGATCAGACTCTAAAATTTAATTAGATAATGACCATTAATCTGTGTTATTGAATTAAACTTTAAAAGGAGAACAGAGCGAGAGAGGCTTACGTTCTCATATAAAGCCTGTAACGTCTCCAGGTCAACCACGGTGTTGTCCAGGTTCAGAATTGCTGAAAAGGGGAGAGGAAAAACAGAAACAGATAAAAAGTTAGTAAGAGGTGAAGCAAAGAACTTAAACCAGCAACACCACTCTCACTTAAAAATAATGATACATACACACATACATAAATACAGTCACTACACATCACCTATTGTTTAAAGCAGTATTTTATATATTTTTTTCATATCATGCTGACACCTGCCCCATGAGATATTGATTGTATACCCTATAATTGATGACAAGAAGAAAAAAAAAATACTATAACAAAATATGATGGTTGAAAAGAAGAGTACAGAAACTGAGGTTTTGAGAGAAGTGATGGGTTGAGATCAAGTACCCACTCCAAATAATCTCACTGCAGTCTGTAACGGCCAGGATCTGGATGGCCCATTTCTAAGGCCAAACACACACACAGGTTTGGGGTCAAAGCTCTGAGTGCTCAAAGCTGAGCTTAAAGGCAGATTTGGACATATTTCTTTCCTCTTCCCACAGGGTTCAGCCACCCACTGCAGCAGGGGTCTCTCACCCCTCCACTAATCAGCTTAATCAGTCCTGATGATTCTGAGGGTAATCAACTAAATTTGACTGCAACATCACCCCCACAGTCCGGAATGTCAAGACTGTCTACTTACTGCACCTTTGAAGATAACGTACGTGACTTAGGACAGATCCTTTTAAGTGTGTGTGCAAGTGTGTGTGTGTAATACATAAATAAATTTATACATACATAAAAATATATAAACATTGACTATATAATACTCTATAATATTCTATATATATACACACACACACACACATACACAACTATGTATATATATATATATATATATATATATGCCTAAAAGTCACCAACACTCTGCTGACTCAATAACTACAGAGTTCCAAACCTCCTCTGGCATCAACAGCAGCACAAAAACTTCACCATGAGCTTGATGGTGTGGGTTTCCATGGCCGAGCAGCTGCATGCAAGCCTTACATCACCAACCACAACACCAAGCGTCGGATGGAGTGGTATAAAGTCCACTGAGTGGACTGATGAATCGCACTTCTCTATCTGGCAATCTGATGGATGAGTCTGGGTTTGACGAATGCAGGAGAACATTACTGACTGCAGTGTGCTGACTGTAAAGTTTGGTGGAGGAGGGATAATGATATGGGGCTGTTTTCAAGGGGTTGGCCTAGAATCCTTAGTTCCAGTGAAGGGAAATCTTAATGCTTCAGCAGACCAAGGCATTTTGGACAATTGCACACTTCCAGCTTTGTGGCAACAGTTTAGGAAAAGTCCTTTTCTGTTCCAGCGTGACTGAGCCCCAGTGCACGAAGCAGCTCCATAAAGGCCTGGCTGGGTGAGTTTGGTGTGGAAGAACTTGACTGGCCTGCACAGAGCCCTGACCTCAACCCCATCGAACACCTTTGGGATGAACTAAAATGGAGATTGTGAGCCAGGCCCTCTCGTCCAACATCAGTGTCTGACCTCACAAATGCTCTTCTGGATGAATGGGCAAAAATTCCCACTGACACTCTCCAGATGAGTGTAAAAAGAGTGGAAGCTATTATAGCTGCAAAGGGGGACCAACTCCTTATTAATACCTATGGATTTAGAATGGGAGGACATAAAAGCTCCCCCACATTTATTCTTTTTTTTTTTTCTCCAATATTCCATTAAGCATCTGACACCAGGTGATATCAATACACATATACACAGATAAGCTACTTCTAATTCTACAATGCATTATTACAGCATTATTAATATCTATTTTATTCATGTGGCAGTCATTTCCTGAGGGGGGTGGGGGCGGTTGTGGGGGGTTACTTATGGTTCTTATAAAATACATGTGCTCATATAGCATGATATACTGACACTGACACATACTGACACTGCATGACATTCGGCTTTCAACAAAAATGGATAAAAGGAGATTCCACAGGTAAAACCAGGAGTAGCAGCCAACCTGAGCTTTCTTTAAGGAACAGTCAACTCAAATAACTTTGATCAACGTTCTCAAACTAACACCAGGTCAGAGAAATGAGCAAGAGGCAGACAGAGATAGAGAGGGGAAAAAAGAGACACAGATGAAATAAGTGAAAGAAAGAAGGCACTGAGACAGAGAAGAGAAAAAGAAAGAAGAAAGAGACACAGAAATAAAGGAGAACCTAGAAAGAGGAAGAAAGAGAGAAATGAGAGAGAAAATAGAAAAACGTGAGAAAGAAATGAGAAAGAAAATGAAACAAGACAGAGAACAAAGTCAAGGGAGAAAGAAAGAGAAAGTGAGATAGCATGAGAGAGGAGAGAGAAAGACAGAAACAAGAGAGATCGAAACAAGGGAAAGAAAAGGGAGAAATAAGTGAAAGAAAAAATAAGGCAATGAGACGAATGAGAAGAAAGAGAAATAAGTGAGAGGAAGAAAGAAATGAGAAAGAGACAGAAAGGAAGGAGAGAGAATCAAATGATGGAGAACAGAAAGAGAAGCAAGAGAGAAAGAAATGAGAAAAAGGAAGGGAGAAAAAAAAAAAACGAAATAAGACAGAGGGGAAAAAAACAAGGAAGAACAGAATAAGAGAGAGAGAGCGCAAGCTTGCGAGTGAGAGACAGAGACCGAGAGAGCGTGAGAGAGAAATAAGAAAGAGAGGGAGAAATGAGCTAAAGAAGGCAGTGAGAGAGAAGAAGTGAGAAGAGAAAGGAATGAGAGACAGAAAGAAAGGAGAACCAAAAAAGAGGAAGAAAGAGAGAAATGATAGAGAAGAGAAAGGGAAGCAAGAGAGAAAGAAAAGGAGAAAAAAAATGAAATAGATGGAAGGAAAAAAAACAAGGAAGAAAGAATGAGAGAGAGCAAGACAGAAAGGGAGAGAGAGAGAGAGAGAGAGAGAGAGAGAGAGAGAGAGAGAGAGAGAGAGAGAGAGAGGAGAGAAAATGTGTAAGACTGTCAGGTTCCTGAGCGCTGAAGCTGCCGCCGCCTTCGTGTCTCTGCGTTCAGGATCTGGCGCCCAAAACTGTAATCCTTTAAAAGTAAATGTTTGAACACAAACAGGGCTGGAGCTGCGGACTGTTTAATCTGAGATATAGTGTTACATTCAAGCACTCTCTCTCTCTCTCTCGCTCTCTCTCTCTCACACGGAGACAGAATAGCTGAGAGAAGCAAGTCGACTCCAAACATTCACACTGGACACATTGTTTAAGTTCTAAGTGTCTGAGATGATTGCTAACAAAGTCTAGAAAAACAGAGTAAATAAATACTTATAATGGTGCCACTTTCACGCTTAATTGAATCAAAGCTTTGAAACAAGGAATTTTAAAAGGGGAGGAGGAAGGAGGAAAAAAAGGAAAAGAAAAGAAAAAGGCAGAATGGAAAACTGCAACTTATTGAGCTCCACACGTGTTTATTTTCTCTTCCCGTGATAAAAGTAGAGTCTGTGACGGGCGTTTGAGGGATAAAAACGACCTTAGTGAATCTGTTGGCGGGACTAATGGCCTCAAATCTGACTCACGCCCGCACGAAATCTGCATCTTTCTCCCATCGAGTCAGGCCAGATTTAAACAGTGGAGGTGATGGGCTCAGGCATCAATTAGGATGTTGGATTTAACGTAATCCCCAGAGTTCAGCTGCAGAGGGAAAAGATCACTCTCCAAACAAATCACACTGAAATTACTGCTCCACTTTCTCTGGCCTCAGTAACAGCCCCAATACCTACATTCTTCAAAATAAAGGTTACTAAATAGCTCTTGGCTTGGATGTATGGGGAATTCCAGCAATTTTTCAAATTTTCTGCATCTCCTTGAGATGTAAACAAAGCCATTCGGGGCGGTTTGATGTGAAATGATTCACTGTAGAGAAACAGACTCAGATTTCTTTACAGTGGTGGTGATAAAAACCAGGAGTCCTGATGTCTGCAACACAAATGTAGTCATTTTATTTACTGTCCAAAACCAACAGACAAGCTACATGTTTTTTGAGTTGTTATTTGTAACTTCAATGGTAAAACAGTGACAAAATCTGACAAGAGTGTTCTTTAGGGAGTATTTTGCCTTATAACTCCCTGCATGTACCTCTCCACCGTGAAAAGGCTATAAAATATGTTCTCAAAAATATAAAAACGTCTCGGGCATCAGGCAGCGTACTCGTTACCATTTCATGTAATAACTTTGTGAGGGAGCTTTCAGAGGCAGTAAACTCTTCAGACGTCTGGTTCCTATCGCACCACAGTTCTCTCTGGCTAAGTTTCCCTAGAACTGAGCTTCTCATATCAAACCACTCTGAAGGGCTGTGTTTACATCTTTACATCATTTAATTATGCAGAAATCAGTGCCCCTTCAATGCGTACAGAACCTTTACACTGAGTTTTTTAAAGCAGGGGTTCCCAACCTTTTTAACTGCATCAACCAAAAAGCAGGCTATAAAGGATGTTTTGCCACTGTAGAAGAACAGTCTCCAAATGATGAAGCAATTGGATGGACTTTACAGCCTCATTCATTAGCTTCCCTTGCATACCAGACACAAGGGATTTAAAACCTCAAGTGGAGACGAACCTGTATTTTAAGGTTCTTACGTTCTAGATTTTTTTCCTGAGTTTGCAGCCCTAATAAAACATTTGTTATTGTTATGTTTTGTCACTTTTGACTTCCTCACTTATTCCAGCCACAAAATAATAGTCAACAGTAATCGTCACACAGTGACCTTTCTTGATACATGAAGTCATGATTTTTACATACATACAGTGATGTGAAAAAGTGTTTGCCTCCTTCCTGATTTCTTATTCTTTTGCATGTTCGTCACACTTAAATGTTTCAGATCACCAAACAGATTTAAATATTAGACAAAGATAACAGAAGTAAACACAAAATGGTTATAAATGAAGGTCTTTATTATTAAGGGAAAAAGAAATCCAAACCTACAGGGCCCTGTGTGAAAAAGTGATTGCCTCCTGTTAAAACATAAATTAACTGTGGTTTATCAGGTCTTTGGAAAGCTGAATTCAATTTCCCTAGCCACACCCAGGCCTGATTACTGCCAC